CGCTTCTACTACTGCAATGTGAAGGAGTTTTATGTAAGTGGCACGCCGCTTTCTCGCCTGCGCATCCAAGTCGCATCACTTGCGTGTGTCAGTGATCATCCATACCTTCATGTGCGCACCTAGCAGCCCGAACCGCGAGCCCCGTCTCATTCGCTCACCATGCGCCAGTTCGTCATCACATGTCGCTCACCTACAAGATACACTTAGCACCAGTTCAGCCGAAGCAGCTTTCGTCCCAGTGCCCCATTCTGGACCCAGGCTGCGTCACAACGACATGCCCACTTCTGGATACAGCAGCAACCGCAGGCAACGGCGGGTATATAAGCTTCGGTGGCTTGCTTTGACGACGAAGCGACTCGCGGTACTCGTCTTCGCTATGAAGGGTCTGCGTCTAAAGAACCGCTTCTCTCGTTGCGCCAAGGACCGTCCGCCATCGCTCGGCCCCGTAGATTTTGAGATACGTGCACTTGGCGGGGGTACGACAAGCACCTTGCTCTTCCACGAGCTGCCTCCCAAAGGAGCAACAACTTATCAGAACCGTATAGCGGAGTTGCACGAGGAAATCAGGTGCCTGAGCAACGAGGTGGCCTTCTACAAGGCTCTCACGGACGAGGCGCTGTCGCGGATCCTGCCCGTTGTTCAATTCCATGCGCGCGACCTGCACGACGCCGTCCAGCGATGCAATGCAAAGCTCGACACTCTTTTACCCGAGAGATACAAGGAGGAGCCGGTGGACATTGGGGGCGTCGAGTCCAAGGCATGCTAGCCACGCTGCAGAGCATCATCCATTCATCTATCTCGTGGTGACCACACATGTCCTTGCAGCACAACCCGTCCAAATCCCCTTACCTGTCTGTCTTGCACGAGGCCTCGCGGTGCAGCCGGCCGCGCTCTTTCGTGGCACCCCTCGTTCCCGATGGCCCCCTCTTTCTGCGCTTCCTAGAGCTTCGCCACTCGGCCCTCAACTGCCGCATCGTCTCGCTATCCAAGGACGTCTGCAGATGCGGGTAGATATAGCCCTCCTCCGAGCTGCGCGGGCTGGCCTCACCAGCCTTCGTCGCTTCATCTTCTGAGGCGTGCGGGTCCACGCCCACGCCTGTGGCGGGTTCGCCGTCACGGTCAACGCACAGGCCTGCCATGGCAATCAGTAATCCATGCGTACAAGAGCACGACAAGTACGCGCTGACCACTGTCTGAGGCTGACGTTGGGCCAGGGGACCTGTTCGTCGTCCCTGCATTGTGCGTAGGTTCGTGAGCGTCATGTGCAGACGCGGAGCGTTGGTCGGCTCCATCTGTCAGGATACTCTCATCAGGAGACATGTTGCCAAAGGAGACTAAAGTGGTGAGCTGCTATTTCAGGACATATAGCGCATTGCGTCTTGATAGACAACGGCGTGGCAGCCACAAGCGGATGACCAGTACAGTCCCGACAGTTGGTGGGACGGCCGGCTTCCACAAACTGAGCTCCGGTAGGACTAGCCATCCCACAGCCTGAATATGCGGTTCGTTGTGGCCGAGACCTATGCGTCGGTCGCTCAGCGTGGGACGCTGGTCCAAGGTCGCGGAGGTTAAAAGACCATGCTCCCTCGCTTCTGGCCGTCTCCTGTTTCCTCGACCATATTTTCATTCAGACCCTGCGAAGCGGGTACAGAAACATGGCACGAACTGTGGTTCCGAGCGTTGCGTTGGGTATGGCCCTCTTCCGCCTGGACGACTCTACAACTGACATAGTTTCAAGACCAGCCAGGCCCCTTTGAGGCACGTCCTGGCATGTGCCGACAAACCGCGCTGCTGGATGCACCGTTATTTGGCATCACGCTTCCGACTACGCCGAGTAATGCAGAGCTTCACCTCGCGCATCCACCGCGTGTTGAGAGGGCTCGGGTTCCTCGGGCCATCGCGTTGTCCGATCGCAGGCGCGTATTTGCGTGCCACTTGGCATTGCAACAGGCGCTCCTGTAGACGGACTCCTCGTCCAAGCAGAGTGAGTGAGGATTGACCCGTGGGCTGCTGGTTACTACTGGGTTATGTCCGCCCGGGACGCCCATTTCGCTGGTGATAGCCAACCACGAACGTGGCGCGTAGTGGCCGTGCCACCAGGTGTTATGCCACACAGTGATCGGGCGACATCGCGATACCAGTCGCACCTTCTTGCAGCGGCTGGCTGTACTTCCTGTCAATCAATCACATGGGTTGTTTGGTGTTTCTGAAAGGGTAGGAGGTATTACGCAATAAATACAGGTACACGAGGATAAACGTTGGTTGTGACACTGGGATTGCATCTTCTTCCCGCGCAGCAAAGGATTATGCCTTTACTGATAGATACATGTAGCCTTTGAGCGACGAAAAGTGCACTAGATAAGTAATTTGACAGTATAACCTTCGCTTGGGGTGAGTAGAACGCATACACGTCGGAACAATGATAAGAATAGGGTAGTCATTTCTAGGTCGATGCCTGGTCCGCAGCAGGTACGGATACAGCACTCCATCATTCTCGCTACGAAGTTCCCAGGGGGGATCTCGCTAGGATATCGAGATGAGGTTGGATCAGCCATCGCTGGCCGCGTTCTTGCAGTTTACGCATACGAGAGAAAGAGACTAGATTCGAGGGGGTGTGATGGCTCCGGCGGTGCTCTTGGGCCGTTGCGTGAGGAAACCCCCGGGCCAGGCCACCCATGACCGGCAACCTCGCTATCTGGCAGCCACGGTAGATCATGACCGACGGCTAGGCCCGAGAGATGTCTGTCTAAGCTCACTGCGACCCTCGGCTAGGACAGCCCTGGCACTGTCCATGGGCAGCTGCAGCCACCGTGGATTGCGAGAGACGACGAGAGATGAGAGGGTGTGGTGGCCCTGCTAATATTGTGGACACCGGGCTGGGTGTCCTTGGAGTGTGGCAGCCACAGTGGAGGACTAGAGTTGAGAGGGTGTGGTGCCCCTGCCATCGCGGTGGGCACTTTGCCTGGATGTGACTGCTGTGTGGCAACCACAATGGAAGACTAGAGACAAGAGGGTGTGATGGGCCCCCCAATACTGCGTGCACTTGCCTGGGAATCCTTGGAGTGTGGCAGCCACAATAAGAGACTAGAGTGAAGATGGTGTGATTGCCCCGCCACTTCTGTGGTCACTTGCCTTGGGGATCCTTGGGTGTGGCAGCCACAATCAAAGACTAAAATTAAGTGGGTGTGTTCGCCCCGCCAATGCTGTGGACTCTTGGCTGGGGTTTCCTTCTAGTGTGGCAGCCACAATACTGTGGTATCAGGCAAAAAGTATGTTAGCTCGCCCCACACAACAGCAAGGGTCAGAGAGGTCACTTTCCCGGGTCACGATGTAGCCTACAGCAAATTCCAGTATTCTATCTATCTAGAATCGAGTATGCATTCCATTAGCATCCATAACAGCCTGACATCGTTCCTTCATTGATTCTAATAGCTCCATAAAGAAGCTATCGTCAATAGCCTCCCAGGCTTCTTTTACCGCAGCCCGTAGCTGGTCATAAGATAGATTCTCCGGGAAATGTATCTCAATATAATCCTTCATCTTATTCCACACAGTCTCGATAGGGTTCAAATCTGGTGAAAATGGAGGCCATTCGATAACCTGAATCCCTCGAGCCTGAAGCTCAGCAATAATCTCTGCCGCAGCGTGGGCAGGGGCATTATCTTGCATAAAGACGAGGCTTTGATCTAGATGAAGACGATACCATCCACATACAACTGGGACGATATGCTGAATATAGCTCTCAGTATTAATCGAGCCCCAATCCTTTTCCCAAAAGATACCAGGGCCCTTGCCTGAGAGCCCAGAAAAACAGCCCCAGAACATCCACCCTTTCTTACGTTGATGCCGCTCAACGATACAAGTCGGATCAAGCTCTTCGCCGGGTCTTCGAGTAACCCATGTTCGTGTATGCCTTCCCCCTGTGACCCAAGTCTCATCAGACCAAAGAATAGTCTTCCAATCATTAAGGGTCCAGTCGATATAGCGTTCGGCAAAGGCAAGCCTTTTTTGACGAGTAGCTTCTATAATTGGGGGCTTTCGGCGCGCAACGTATCTCTTAAATCCAGCTCGGCGAAGGGCGTTTCGGATAGCGTAGACTGAACAATCCCATCCTAGCTCCTGTGGGAGCCGCCAGTAAGCCATACGTCGGGCTCTTTGAGAGGAACATACGAACTCAATCAATTCCTCAAGTTGGGCTTCTGTAAGTAAGGGAGGGCGGCCGGTCGAGCGACGAGGTGTGGCTTGGGTTGTAGCTGCGTGTTGGACTTGCCGTAGCGTAAGATGGAGATGTGTAGCTATTTGCTGATAGGTCCAACCAGCTGATCGAAGTGTACGAATCGAAATGCGGGTATCGCGGCTTGTATTGCTTGCACGGCCGGAAGGTTGTGGTGAGGGCGTTCGTAGTGCTTGGAGGAGCTCTTGATGCTGTTGTTGAAGCTGCTGTGAAAGCTGCTCTTGGAGCCGTTCTTGCTGCTGAAGAAGGAGCTGCTGCTGCTCTTGAAGCTGCCGTAGCTGTAGCTCGAGATCGTGAGTTGAAGCCATAGTAAATATATATTTGAAGGCTTAAATGCGTTATGTTGGTATTACTCGTAGGTGGAAATACCTCACGAACGGGAAAAGTGACTCCTTTGACCCTTGCTGTTGTGTGGGGCGAGCTAACATACTTTTTGCCTGATACCACAGTAAGAGACTAGAATCAAGATGGTGTGATGACCCCCCCACATCTGTGGACATCTGCCTGGGAGCCCTTGTCGTGTGGCAGCCACAATGAAAGACTAGAGCTGGGAGGGTGTGACGGCTCCGCTATCGCTGTGGGCCTCTGCCTGGGTAGTCCTTGCCGTGTGGCAGCCACAATGGAAGACTAGTGTCGAGAGGGTGTGATGTGCCCCCCATCACGGTGGACACCTGCCTGGGGGGCCTTGACGTGTGGCAGCCACCACAGAAGACTCCAGACGAAAGGGTGTGATTGCTCCACCATTGCTGTGGATACCTGTCTGGGTAGTCCTTATCATGTGGCAGCCACACTGGAGGATGAGAGCTGAGAGGGTGTCATGGCCCTGGCAACGTGGGGGCTCCCACTTCGGGCCAGGCCATAATTGATCGATGACTTGCCGTGTGGCAGCCACACGTCACCCGAGCTGCTTGACATCAGAAGCTGGAGTGGCTGCATTCTGCCCCTGTCGATCAGACTACTCTGAGCCTGGTAAGAGCTTCCCAACCGCAGGGGTCGCGTAGAATGCGCCCGCTTGGCCCATCATATACAGATGCACCCGCCGTGAGTCCCAAGGCAAGGCTTGAACAGGATAGCACCGTTTCCAAGGGGTGACATCTACCAGGGAATGGTTACGATAAGACACGGGTGCAGCAGGCGGGACCTAGTCTACTGAACTGTTGGCTAGTGTCAAGGAAACGACAAACTCGCCACAAAGCGGTC